AAAAGCTCTCTTCTATTAGACCTCGTGTCCACTTTTTTCAATAACTTAGCGACGCTGCTTTAACGACTAGCTGATTACCGCGCCCTTTTTTCCTCTCACAGCTGTTAAATTTTACGTTCCCTTTCGCACGTGTTACGGTACAGATGCTTTGGATGTGTATGCATCTGCTGTAATACTCTCCTCCCTACACTAAGCCGGGACATCAATATATCGTAAAGAGACGAGGTTTTGTTAGACCGGACGTCTCATGAAGTTCATTTTGCACAGCGCGTCAGCTGTTGCTGTCACTTAACGAGTAGTGTTGATTTCATACCACTTCTACGGAACAAACTCATTTGTTTACAGGTTAAGCACGACATGATGATTGAGAAACGAGTTCTAGACGATTTAGTTCAATTTCAAGACATGGAAAAGGCTCTTTGTAAGAGTCGGGAGCGGCTGAGCAATGCTTTCACTGGTACGTACATATCCATTTGAGTTTTTTCTATGCTTATCTTTCGTTGAAAATTGTTACTGCATAGAGACTAGTTGCATATATCGTCAGGAGTTTGGTTAAAAATTGTAGTATCCGAAACATCCCTCAAAAATACTTTGAAGTTATCTAGCACAGCTTTGAGCTTATTTATAATTTTAGCGCAAATGGTCTTCGCTGCAGTGTATAGCTTCCATCCTTAGAGTAAGAACTTGCGGCATTCCTTGCATGTTCTTTATACATCTGACTAAAGCTGATGTCCAAGAATTAGCAGACATACTCAATTACAGGATCAGTGCACAGTTCAATTTTTGATTCTTTGATGTGATATGAAGTCGTGATCTTCATTATTTGTTCTAAACTGTTTCTTGAGTGTGCCTTTCATTGCCCTAAAGGATCAATTTTTTTCTTTGCAAATCTCTCTTTCCTATGGATTCAGTCATAGCCTTTGCGCGGATAAGTTGAACGTTTACTTTGCATCCATTGTTGTGTAATTTATTGCATACTGCCATCGAAGGAATCTGTTTTTAGATGTCGACATAGCCAAGAAAGCGCTCGAAAAAGCCGACAGCACTAGCAGTAACACTGCTCAGCTGCAAGATACCCTCGATGCAGCGCAACTGAAGCTTGAGAACCAAAAGGTGTGCTACCTCTC